GTATTGTATTGCTCCCTTGTTTCCGGGGGGGGGGGCACTTATGCAGGCCATAGTTCATTAGTATTTGAGCATTTGCAGGGAAGATGCATCTCGCATCAACTTCTTGTTCGTTAGAGCCACCTCGAACTCACCGAGAACGACGCTTCTGCTAAATTTAGTCGAAGATCGATTACCACCAAGTGGCGATTGGATCCCGATGCGAGTCTCAAGTAACGAGATGCGCTATTTACAGCTGATCATTGTATGATCCATTGGGATCAGTAAACTTCTACCGGGGGTCGTTCAAGCGATTTGGCGATTTCACTTATGAGGAAATAAAGTGCCGTCGCGCGATAGTTTATCGGATGCCAATTGTTTTCATTGACGATATCGATTCCATGATGGCCGACTAAGTGCATCCAAGTTCTCGGCATCAAAGTTCGCGCTTAGGTCATCGTCCATAATTCTGACATTAAGCGCTGACTGCAAGTAATCACTGAAATCGTCTTTCTCTCTGCCGCCTGAAACACTTGCTCTGGCGTAGTCAACTCTAACATTCAGCGTTTCGTGCTGAGCATTAAAATGACAAACGAGGATTTTCAAACAGCTGTTAGGCTGAAAAATGGAAGGGTTAACTTTCGAGGACAAGACAATCCCACTACCGACCACAAGTAGTCTATTGCATCTTGACGCTTCAAGTTGATGTGACAGTAATGCACAGTTTAAAGCGGTTACACTAGTCCTTTTGCCCTTACCTTCACATTATGCAGCATTATTGCTGCCTAATGCTAACTTAGCATCTCTAATGTGGAGAAGCGGTAATAGTCAAATTACGGGATCGCATACCATACGCGGTGTGTATTTCTGAATGTTTGTCATCAACCCAACCCGGTTGGCTAAAGAGCAGTGGGTAGCTGGGGTTTACAGTGCTTTTCTCGCTTTCACAGCTCTTACTGTCTATGAGAAAAGGCTCTGACTCAAAGATCTAAGCGAAAACGTTTTTGGAACTTTACTGCTAAATGAAGTCATAGAGAAAGTCCATTTTTAGCATTTTGAGCAGCCAACATTATTATTGCTGAAAGAAAACACGGTAAATACCGTTTTATGCCCCGTTGTTCACCCTACAAGCGAATCATGGAGACTCTTTGAAAAACTAATAGGAAGACTGAACAATACCCGATGAATGATATCGAGAAATGGAAAAACACAACATCAGACACGCCCTTTGCTGATTGGGCGAAATAGTTTTCGCATATTTCAATTTTATTATTTTCCTGAACAGAAGATGGAACTTGACATTGACATGGCACTGGCATGGTTACCTGGCCCTGTGAAACCAGTGCATTAGTTAAAGATAGTAACTTCTGATTGCTTTAGAGAATCGTATGATTGGAATGCAGCGAAGTCCAGAAGAATGCAGCTTCGTTGTATACGGCGCCAAGAATAAACATGGATTCATAGTGTCGCCGACGTATCCTGGAAGATATCCATCAGTAAGTGCATGAAAGCGCATGAGTATTTAACAATTTAAAATGACACGCATGTAACTTAGGCAAGATAAGATGTGCAAAGCTTGTGAAGTTTGAAAACTCACCTTCTTTCATAAAGTGACCAGATAAATTACATGCCTTATTCCAGAAAATGTGGTCTCTATGTAATGGCTGTATCATTGGTGAGAGAGTGGTTCTGAACGACAGACGTAGAAAAACTGAAGACAGTTATGACTCTTTGTGAACAGCTTTTGTGCCAGAAGTCAGGATTAGCACATATGCTATGTTGAGAAACACGAAAGTAGCACTGCCATGGAAAAAAGCACATTATCGGAACAGTATAAGAAACGTAGAACACGGTTCATTTATGCGCAACGCAAACGTTATGATTAATCGAATGATTGAGAAGCCTGGTGTCTCACAAACGTGTTATTCAAAATAGAGAGAGTAAATTAAAGTTTTTTCTGTGATTCGCAGCTATTCTAACCTTTGGAGTCAGAAAGCGAGATTTTTGTCCGTGTTACTGGTGTTGGTTAAGTTGTTGTAACAATCTCCGGTCTAAGTCATTGGCTTCATAAAAATTGTAATATGCAACTGAATCAATACCACATTAGCTCCACATTAATAATATGCAAATGGACAATGCGATGTTATGAAAATACAGTTATCTAACATTTGAGACAGCTTTTGCTGTGCCATTAATTCTATCGAGCAGGTTGACATACCGGCTGTCATTCAAACTAAGCGAGCTGGAACGTCCGTCACACAGTCACCTTTTTTAATCAACATGTGCAACAATTCGTTTAACAATACGTGCAACTAATAGCTGAGTGTTACTTCTATCCTTATAAGAGAGCAGACGAAAGGCAGTAGCACAGAGTTTCAGTTACTTTGCTTCGTACATTACAGTTACCGAGTTCAACATCTAGGTGGGGTGGAATTTTTCTCTGACTAACGACTTGAGCAAGGAATCCGTCGCAGTTTTTCTACTTAGCCGAAAAACGGGCAGCAGGTCAATGACCTGTGAATAACAGAGACAGCGCATTGTGTATTGTCTGTGTGTAGTCATGCCAGAGTGTGCGAGACATGTGACCATACTGTCTGTGTGTGCCTTCCGGGTGCAATTCGCCTTGACCCAGCTAGTGACTGACTGAAAATCAGCACAAGGCATAAATATGGACTTAATTAAT